ACAGATGGAAGCGGATGCCGTTTGGAATATCTCCAGCTCCAGAAGAGTTTCCACGATATCTAGATTTAGCGCTGGAAGGATTGGAAGGAATTAAAGCAATTTGTGATGACATACTTGTCTGCGGAGTTGGTGAATCTTATGAAGAAGCAGTGCAAGACCATGATAACAAGTTGGTGAGTCTGCTTGAGCGCTGCAGAAGTAAAGGAATAAAGCTGAATTCAAAGAAGCTGCTGTTTCGTCGCAAGCAAGTGAGTTTTATGGGTCATTTAATCACGTCGAAGGGACTGAGGCCTGATCCAGCAAAGGTGGAGGCGATCCGGAAGATGCCGATACCGTCGAACAAGCAAGCGGTGCGACTCCTCCTTGGAATGGTTAATTATTTGCAAAGATTTTCACCAAATTTGTCTTCAGTCACAGCACCGTTAAGAGAGTTACTTAAAGAACAGAATGCGTTCCACTGGAGAGAAGATGTCAAAGCGAAGTGTTTCAGCGAAGTGAAGAAGATTTTGTCATCACCTCCCTTGTTGAAATACTTTGATCCAGATCAAGATTTGGAGTTGCAGTGCGATGCTTCTGAAAAGGGATTAGGGGCCTTCCTAATGCAAAATGGTCAACCGATTGCCTACGCGTCGCGGTCTCTTACGAATACCGAACAACAGTATGCTCAAATTGAGAATTTGGCGCCGAGAAGTTCGAACAGTATGTTTATGGACGACGAGTGAAAGTTGAAACCGATCACAAACCCATTGAGAGCATTATGAAGAAGAATCTCCTCAGCGCGCCAAAAAGATTGCAACGCATGATGCTTCGGCTGCGGAAATATCATCTAGAGGTGACATACAAGAGAGGATCCCAGATGTATCTCGCTGATACCTTGAGTCGCGCATATTTGGATGGAAGCTGCAGCCCGCAGAAGTATGATGAATTAAGAAGTATTGTCGACCGGAAGTAGCATTGGGGAAGATCTAGAAAGCATAGATATGGTCTGTAACCTTCCAATATCCGAAGAGTCGTTAACGATGATCAAACAAGCTACAGAGGTAGATAACGACCTAGAAAAGCTGAAAACGGTTATCAGATAAGGATGGCCGGAGACGAATGATCAAGTACCACCAAGTTTGGCAGAGCACTTCAATATCCGTGATGAATTGTCAATTCAGAATTGTTTGATTTTCAAGGGAGAGCGGTTAGTCATTCCTTATGGAGTGCGATCACACATAAAAGCAAGAATTCATGCAAGTCATATTGGCGTTCAGGGGTGTCTAAGAAGTGCAAGAGACAGTGTGTATTGGCAGAAAGAACCACTGATCAGTCACGCGATTCCCGAACGACCATGGGAAAAGGTTGGCAGTGACCTTTTTGAGTACGAAGGGGGTGACTTTTTAGTGACTATTTTTCCAATTTCTTTGAGTTGGATCAACTAAGAAGCAAGACCAGCAACGAGATCATTGCGAAGCTGAAGTCACTTTTTGCAAGATATGGAGTTCCTGATCAACTTATCACAGATAACGGACCACCATATAACTCAGAAGCCGTTCGTGAGTTTGCAAGGGAGTTTGAGTTCGAGCATATCACCAGTTCTCCTGGATATCCGAAGTCCAATGGAAAGTCAGAGAATGCAGTGCGCACGGCTAAACGGTTGGTGAAGAAAGCGAGGGAGAGTGGCAGAGATCCATATTTGTCGTTGTTAGATTGGCGTAACACTAGATATCAAGATTGTGGGACATGAGCTAGTGACTATAGTTAGATAAATTAAGTTATAGTGACTATTAGTTAGATAATTATGAGCTGACTAATAACTTTATTGTACAGTCTTTGTTGATATTTATTTTCGTATGAATGGTTATTTAGAATATTCATTATTGTCCTTGAGAAACTTTAAAAAAAACAATAATTAAAAAAAAAACACTTTACTATAGTAGAGAGAACTTTCTAGTTTAGAGAAGGAGGGATGTAATGATATATATGTATACAAATGTATATCCTTTTCCGGTTGCTATGTATATATATGAGCAACTATGTAGTTGTAGTTGTTAGTTGATAATAAAGTGATAGTTTCAAAAATCCTAGGAAATATCAGTCAGTAAAGTGGGTTTTAGATAACGTGGTTATAATGCGTGTGTATGGAAAATTGTGTGTCCGTCACACGATGTAGAACCACAAAATACAAATTAGCGTTTAGCCCGCTTGCAGGCCCAAGGGAACTGATAGTTGGCCTGCAAGCAAGGCCCGGTATTTTGTAAAACGCCCCTTTTCATAACACGCCCCATTCGCGCGTCAATTGTCAAAAAAGAACCAATGACAGCACCCAAATATTAACAAACAAACTCGCATTAAAATGTTGCGGGGTTTTCTCTGCTTATTCAGAACATAAACAATATGTAAATGGCAGCGTTTTAACTCCAAAAAAGCAAGCAACGCAGTCAGTAATTGCCAAATTTGCAAGTGCTCATTTTCAACTAAAATCGGAACAGGCAAATTAGGACGAATTTCAACAGAAAACCAGTCTCAAACTTCAAATCGTGAGGGAAGTCGTGCGACACATTAGCATTTATATTATCACAGGCGGCCCAATCTCTGAACGTCCTATATATTTTGAATATTTAACCGTTATAATATTTTAAAATAACAAAATAATTCAAAAAATATTAACAATGTATGTAAAAAATATATCTCACTTGTTAATAGAATCCATTTGTTGTGTTTCTGAGTCTAGTTGATGCGATTGCTTTAGGTTTTCGTCGTACTTGAACGGTCGTCAGTACTATGGCACTGGACGACATGGCCGTATAGGACATAAATAACTACAAGGCTAGCCACTTATCTGATATACTCTCCGACATCGAGTACAATATCTCGCCTCAGAATCGTCGCAGAGCAATAAATTTCACATCGTCTAATAGCACGAACGTTCCTCTTTCGAAAGAACTTGGTTTGTTCATCATTGCGGCAATTCCCGCGACACACGACGAACTTTGTTTGTCTAAAATTCAAAATTCCATTTTCGAAAGAGCCGCTAACCCCATGATCGTTGCCACGAGAAGCGGCTCAGCAACTTGGCCTCCTCGTTTGAAAACATTCCATCAGGGGGGGGGGAGCTGGACTGGAATGAGGGGGCTTTCAAAGAAACACGATAAAACACACGATATAAATAGAAATTATTACTTTATCATGCTGTATTCGACAATAAACAAGTTTGAAAGCCCCCTCATTCCAGTTCAGCTCCTCCCCCCCTGATGGAATGTTTTCAAACGAGGAGGCCAGGTTGCTGAGCCGCTTCTCGTGGCAACGATCATGGGGTTAGCGGCTCTTTCGAAAATGGAATTTTGAATTTTAGACAAACAAAGTTCGTCGTGTGTCGCGGGAATTGCCGCAATGATGAACAAACCAAGTTCTTTCGAAAGAGGAACGTTCGTGCTATTAGATGATGTGAAATTTATTGCTCTGCGACGATTCTGAGGCGAGATATTGTACTCGATGTCGGAGAGTATATCAGATAAGTGGCTAGCCTTGTAGTTATTTATGTCCTATACGGCCATGTCGTCCAGTGCCATAGTACTGATGACCGTTCAAGTACGACGAAAACGTAAAGCAATCGCATCAACTAGAATCAGAAACACAACAAATGGATTCAATTAACAAGTGAGATATATTTTTTACATATATTGTTAATATTTTTTGAATTATTTTGTTATTTTAAAATATTATAACGGTTAAATATTCAAAATATATAGGACGTTCAGAGATTGGGCCGCCTGTGCTCAAACAGCAAATTAGTTTACTTTGAAGCTAATATTTCGCTTTCTTAGCCACAGTATTATATAAAATTTTCTTTTCTTATAAGATAAACATCCGTAAAAAGTTTAAATTTCAGCGAAGTATATTCGCCATTTGATGCTGTCTCGCCTGTCTGGCTTCATACAGTATATTAAATATGCCAATCCTCAAATCCTGTCCGCGTTTTAAATATAACCGAGCATCTTTAATATTCAAATCTGATCATTAATGGTGCATTTTATTATCTGGACAAGTATCAATGTCTTTAAATTCAATTTATGTGCAATTTTGACCAAAATTCAACCGACGACTGCTTTCAAAATATATATTTATATTTATTCCGCTCCTAAATCAACTGACGTCACTTTCCAGAATTTGGAAGGTAAATTCTGATTGGTCGACGTAGCGGAATTCAGTTTGGCGCTCGAGTAAGCAGACGGTAGTATTTCGTCGCTTGGCGTAAGAACTACAACGTCTGTGAGCAGGCTAGTTAGAGGGATATGTTCATCAAAGTTAACATTATTAGGCTAATTAAGAAGCATGGATGTTTATGAAGTTTGTTATTGATTGTTATACTAATTTAAGTTTTGATAGCATGCTAATGAAGCGTGAGATGGGAATAAGGTCTACTAAAGAGAATACTAACAAGGTCTAATAAAGTAAAGAAATAAATTAATTTTACAAGTACGTTAAAATATGAGCAGCTAATCTTTATGGGTATTTAACAATGGCTCGCGCTCGCCATTGTAAATGATCAGCTGCTCATATTTTAACTACTACGTAGAGACACCCAGCACAATTAATAACTTCTGACTGTGTCTTCGAAAATGAGTCGTATTTTACGTTTTAAGAGCTAGTAATAGAACTTAACGAGATTTCCAAATCTGGTGCACTAATTAAAATAAGAAGAAAGTGCGTGCGAGCTGCACTTGCGCGCTCGTGCAGTTTCACCAATTAAGTTTCATTGCGCCCTAATGCCGGCCCTGCATGGGCTTAAAAAATACTTGTGGTTCCGGTTTCATATCGTGGAAAAATTAGGGACTGGTCATTATTTATGGCAGGGGTGGCGCCAAAGAGAAAAGGGTTGGGTAAACAAAATTTTGAGTGAGTAAAATGTTGGGTAAATGAAAAAGAAAACAAATCAAGGGTTGCATGGGTGATAAAAATTTATTGTCATTTCCAAAGCATGACTCACTCAAATATTGAAGACTAAATGGCAATGTCAACAGTCATATTTAAGTCAATATAATTTGTAAATCAAGCAGAGTCACTATCTCGATCATTTTTCGATTTGTCAGGAGGCAAGAAAGTACATGTGCAGACAACATGAAACTTTAGACTGCAGAAAATTACACAAGCAGTTATCAAACTCATGTCATAGAAGTGGTAGGCCTATAGGACATGTGTGACAACTGAATGGTGTCCGTTTGTAACGTTTTTGGCCAGGGGTGGATATTTATTTTTTAATTGATATTTGCGGTTGGGTAATCAATTTTTTTACTTTTTAATGGGTTGGTCAGCAAAATTTTTGCCACGAAAAACATTTCGCTTCTGTGCCATCCCCCACCATAAATAATGACCGCTCCCTTAAGGTCGGTAGGTCGGAAATAATTCTTTTTGGATATTTTTTCATGGTTTTGCGGTTTTTTGCTGTGCGATTTGCAGTAGAATCCCGACATCAATAGTAACTAGAGATGCGTATTTTCTATGGACCAATATAGGCAATTTGGTTAAATAATTAGTGTGACAACAGACGTCATTTTGGCACGCTGTATGAGCAGCCCGCAACCACTAAATTAGGGTCGCACACTGGCATGGTCAATCGCGTTGAAAAAATAATAGGGTCGGCAGAAAAAAATAGGGTCGGTCTGAAACCGGAACTATAGGTAATTTTTTATATTGTATGATATGTCTACTTTGGTTTGTAGACTTTGTGTCCACTTCACCTATCTTGTATATAATAACTATACCGCTGTTTCAATTAAGATTGTCCCCGAGCAAAACGGAAAAATCGACAACGAGAGCGAAAGGCTGCTGGTTTAGCGCTTCCCATCAGCCTTTGGCGCTCGTATTCGACTTCTCCGCTTTGCTCGGGGATTTAAATAGCTTTTAATTTGAAATAGCTGTATACGGTGCAAGTGTCTAATATATGCAAAGTGTACCCACCTTATGTTTGATAAGACATGTACCGTACACAAATTAAACAAAAATTTAAAACATCATACATATCCAAATGAGATACTTGATCGTTTACAAACTATTACATTATAATACACAATATACACAAAGTATAGGTACTAAAAGAAGGCACAATTACATTCCACACACAAAGCAGGCGGGATATTGTAAAACATGAGTTCGAGTTAATCCCGAATTATATACAGTTCGTCTCGAGTTGATGTGAATTTTGAGTTTGACGTTGAGTTTATAGCCTATACTGGGCGCAATAATATCATTCACATTACCAATAAAATTAGGCGTAAATCTTTTTAATGTCATTCAACCTAGCTCATCCCTTAAATTAATCCATCATTTTTCGCAACCAATCCCCTAAAACCTAAACTGATCAAACGAGAATTAGAGTCGACGAGAGTTGATATAGGTTCTAGATTAGCAAAATAAATGTTTCACAAATGTTCCATGTGGCACACATGATAGTGTCGGGAAAGCATTGAGAATAGCTAACCAAGATCGCGTTACTTCCAACACTCATGCACTCTCAACCACATTTACTTAACCCATATATAAGTTCAACTTATATCGCGTTTAGCTCCTAACCACTAACCCCAATCTCGGCTTAAAGTCGGTTATAATTTGATTTGAATACGAACTCATAAATTCTCTACTCCCCAAGGTAGACAAATTGTACACAGAGTGAAGACATCGTTCAGAAACTATATGATAGCAATTAACATGGTACAATGTAGACACATGCATGGTCACCAAATATAG